GGGGTGCTCGGGTGCTTGTGCTTGTACTTGTGCCCCAATTTCTCCCTAGTCTCAGAAACACTGTCTCTAACAACCATTCCCCAGCCCAAGGACACTGTGCCTAGCAGTTATTCATGCATGGGCCTCAGCATGACCCTTATCTCTCTCCCTGGTACAGCTACACAGAGCTGGGCTGCTCAGGCCCCAGCCCTCAGATCATGTCTCTGGAAGCCTCCCAATTCCTTAGTTGGGAGAAAGCTTTCCTTTGTTGCAGAGCATTCTCATGTCAAGACAGAGGGAGAGGGGTGTCCTTGACCAGCCCAAGAACTCTTTCTCTTGCCAGACTTCAAAGATCCATCCCCCTCCCTGTCCTGTATACTCCCTGTACTTTCCCATCCACAGCCCCCAAAGACACCTGCATCTTTGGATTACCTCATCAGTGTTCCTCGCATTTCTTTCCCATGCTCTTTTCTATATAAACCCTAGCTCGACCCCTGATGGGTGCTGCTTGATTTGGATGTGCATACCCCTTGCAGCCGCGTGCTAACAAAGTCCACGTCTTAAATCATGTCTGGGTCTCATTTGCTGATTTCTTGGTACAACAAAACCAGTCTTGATGTTTGTGAGTGTTCTGACCCAGATAAGTAAATGTGGTGCTCTAAAACTAAATCTCAGAAAGTTGCCCACTTTTTTTCTGCTTCATTGTTGGCAGTCATATATTGGTTCAACTTACCCTCTCCCTTAGCAACAATCTATTTGTTAGGAGAAGTCCCCTAACATGTTGATATTAAGCATTCTGGTAGTCATCCTGACTTGGGGGCCTCCACTTTTGTTGGATGAGAGCGTTTAGCTTGGAGAGGATAAGTCTATGAATGGTTGAGCATTCTGCACCACACATCACCTTCATCAGCCTTGAATCCTTCTGTTTCTTCTCCCTACAATGACATAGTCATTGTAGGTCATTAAATGGTCATTAAATGCAAGTGTTTGCTGTGAGGATGCATCCACAAAGTTTTGTTGTATTTAGGTAAACTGAAGACAGTGCTGGTGATGAGAAGGTCATGAGATGCAAAAGTCATTAGTAGTAAGTGACCACTGCTGTTGCTGTTTCCAACTCTATTCCTCCCAAGGACTCCCTGCCGTGTCTGATAATGTGTGCCTACTCTGGCATTAAAGTCACCCAAAATTATAAGCTCGTTTTCTTTTGGCACATTGATTATGAGGCTCTTCATAAAATTTTTTTCTCTGACCTTATCAGGGTTTGTCATTGTGGGAGCATATGCACTGATGATGGTGGCATGGTGCCACCTAGCTAGTAAGAAGACATGTGGTGCCTAACTGGTAGCCTCCTTGGATAAAGCCCTCTGGGTGACAAAGTGTGATTCTAGTGAGGTGGAGGATGATGACCTTTCTCTATCCCAACAGAATGGTAGTGGAAGTCTTTGCTCAGCATACGGAGTGTGGATTCAACCAATAGGGCTCATCCCAGGAGTGTCCTGGCTGCTGTGCTTGACTTTAGCATCTGATCTTGTGCGCACTGAGATGATCCTGGAAGGCCTGCAAGTACTGGCAGCAAGGGCAGCCTCTAACAGGGTGACTGCACCTGCAGCAGCAGCAGTAGGGTCAGTCTTTTGACAAAGAAAGCAATGATTTCTGAGGGTGCCAGAATGAAGATCAAGCATGGCCGTTTGATCAGACAACTGCCTAATAGCCAGAAAAAATGTGAAATGGCTAATCAGTGTTCTTGTAAGAACTATTTCATGTCCCAAGGAGGCTAAAATATTAATGTCCCTGTGGACTCTACCGTCAGTACTAAGTTACTGAATTCTGTTCTTATCCTGTAAAGAGGTGGGTAGACCCTGCCACTTCTTGGGTGACTTTGGGTAGGTTACTAACTCTTTGGGGCCTCAGCTGCCTCATCTATAAAATGAAAGGGCTAGACCCCTCCTATCCTCATCTGTGAAATGGGGATAATGATTGCACCCACCTCAAAGAGTTGTTGTGAGGATAAAATGAGATCATATCTGTGATTTGCAAACCTTACCTGGAGTGCTCTATAAATGCCAAAATCATTCCCCATCATATTGGGCTATATTTGGAGTTAGTGGCAGGAATGAGGACAAAGGGGCTGTGGTGGAGTCTTCCAGCTTCCACCTTCTCCCCACACGCCAACTCCACTGATCTGCAGGGCAGACCTTGAAAATTTTGGGGATCTGAGGTAAGCCCATTGCCTCAGACCCATTTAGTCTCTTTCTATTTGTTGGCATGTAGCCTCTCTCTATTTAGATAGGTTTGTTTGTTTGCTTGCTTTCAGAGGAGGAGGGTGATGCAAGTGGACAGTCAGAAACTTGTCAGAGGTAAAGGGTTTTTTGTTTTGTTTTGTTTTGTTTTAATCCTGAGTCAGGCAGAGGCTAGGGACAGGAACATCAATCGTGTTAGCAGGAGGAGATATTCAAAGACAGATTAAATATATTTTGATTCTGTCAACCAAAAAGCAATTATTAATCAGCTAAGATATGCCAGGCATTGAGCCAAGAACTGAGGTCACAAAGATAAAAAAGAAACATTCTCCATCCTTAAGGAATTCTATTGCTGGAAACAACACGTACATGTGTAAGTATATGCAAAACACATGCAAAGTAAATACAAGGTAATTTTAGGGGCAGAATATTTGCAGTTAGGGGTATCAGGAGAGGGCATGTATAAACTGATCTTTGAAGAAAACTAGGGATTGTAAGAGTAGGTAAGGAGGCCGTGCATTCCAGGCATGATGGATAGACTTTGGACCTGGTGCTAAGAATTAGAAAGCTAACCAGTTTCTATTCTAATGGTGAGAAAGCTGCTTTTCTCTAGTCCTCAACAACTAGGTGTATAAGTGTTGGCCTTTGTCACTGAAAAGAGCTAAAGCTTAACACCCCACTCCATGCTCCCTCAGGAGGGAGAGGGAGGAGGAACAGGAGGGGAAGAAGACAGAGCCAATTCTTCCTCCTGTGAGTAGGAGGGAGCATCTTTGCTGATGTCTGTAGCTGAGGCCCAACAGGTGGCAAGCAGCAATACTGAACTGCCTAGTTTGGGAATATCCAAGCCAGAATATCCAATGTTCAGAGTAGCTGGGGCAAAATGGTGCCTTCAATAGGGAGTATGCCCAAAGATCAGAAACAGTGACCTCACCAGAAGATATCAGCAATCCTTCAGTATCATAGATAATGAATTGCCTCCCTGTGTGTGTGTGTGTGTGTGTGTGTGTGTGTGTGTGTGTGTATGTGTGGGCTACTCCACATATTCAGACAAGGACCATGTAGAGTTCTCTGCAAATGTATTCTCCATTTACGATACCTGTCATATGGTCACTTTTCCTGCAGGCAGTGTATTTGTGGGAGAGGGTGCCACAGGTTTATGGAGCGAATATTCTACTTTTCTTACTATGTCCTTTTTTAACACTCTCCAAGGAATATTCAGTTTTTCTGAATGAGCTCCTCCTTAGGTTGACTAGTAAAAAGTAAAAAAAAAACCATAGTGAAACTTTAGTTTTCAGTGGATGTGGACCTCCAGAAAACCTATCCTGTGCTAGCTTTTCTGGGAATCTCAGGAATGAGAGGGAGTGCCTTAGTTGCAGTGGTGTGTTGCACCTGGCTTGTATAAGTGGATTGTTAAATTTTCAGTGTGACCATTTATACCTCCAAAATGGGCAAAAGCTACAAATCAGGGATTGATTTGTTATTTTGTTGATTGTCTAGATTTAAGAAAGTGATTAAATGTTGAAAAAAAAATAGGGGCAGCTAGGTGGCCCAGCAGATAGAGCAGGGCCCTGGAGTCAGGAGGACCTGAGTTCAAATCTGACCTCAGACACTTGATACTTACTAGCTGTGTGACCCTGGGCAAGTCACTTAACCCCAATTGCCTTATCAAAAAAAAAATGCAGCTTCTACTAAAAAGTATGTAGTGGGTACTTTTCTTCTTCTTCTTCTTCTGGAAAGCTGGTTGTTAAACATTTGTCAACACATCCCTGCCTAGTGGCTACATTAGTTACTGGCTTCAGATGTAAAAACAGTCAGACCACCTAGTGTAGACAGGACTTTTTCCCCCTACTTGACCTTAATTACTTCAGATCTGAGTACCAGAATTTTCTAATTTCTTTACTTCTCTTTTCTAGTAGTACATTTCAAGATACATTACACAAATCTCACTCCAAGCTTATCTGAAGGAAGCCTTTACAAACTTAAATGATCACAATTTACTTCCACACTGAAGGTTGTTTCTGCTAAAAAATTCTGAGCTGAAGTTCGTAATTAAATTGATTTTATCAGTGTGGCCTTGCAAGAGAAAAGGAGCCCTCTAAGGTGTGAAAACCATTGTCATGACAAAGCCCTCTTGGCCATGGTGCAGCTCTGCTCTGGAAAGACCATGACTTTGAATCATTCAGATTCCCAAATCTAAGGCAAAGGGAGCAGAAGGTTTTCAGAAGACCTTCAAAAGACTCTAGTAAGAAAGGAGCTACTCTAGCAATTCCGAGGGGATATCCAGAGAGTCTGAAGTACAGGGAGTTTGTGTGTGAGGACCTGAGCACAAACTGAGAATGACCTATCTTTCTAGCTGATGCCACCTCAAGTGCCAACTTCCCCTCCTTCCTCCATCAGCAACAACTATCCTCTATCCCCTCCTCCAGGCCTGGCTTTGCTGGCCTTGGCTTCTGGTCTCACCAACACACCACTCCCCTATTTCTTCCTTCCTATGGCTACCTTTGAGGTCTTTCCTCAGCTTCCTTCCAGTCCCCCACATAAACTCTGACTTTTAGAAGCTGAACACCCCATTTAGCCATATTGGGTTCTTGCTTCAATTCTAAGGGAGTACAATGCCACTTCCAAAGTCCCTGGCATAGATAGTACCCAGAAATTCCCAATTCCTCCTAGGCATAAGAAGGTATGAGTGCCCATACCAGCTTTGATTTCTGGTGACTGGGTTCTGAGGCATTATAAAAACAGCATATATTTTGGAACCTTTGAATAAAGTACTTTTCTTACCTCAATGAGACAAATCACAGCAATAATGATCATTACCACTACTGTCACTGATATGGCCAAGAGAAGTTTGTTGTTATAGCCAAATTCTGGAATGTCTTCTTTCAGCTATGGAAAAAAAGAGCACTTTTAAAAAAAACAAATAGGACAAAAAATGAATGTCAATTTCAAAAAATAAATAAAGTGAAATTATATATATATATATATAGGATCCTATCCAATTTACCTTCTAGATCTTTTGGTTTCTTCTTGAATATATGTTCATGAGAAATTCCTTATGATATCTTACTTCAAATGTGCAATATATGTACTGTTCATATTTGTTACTTTTCATACTTATCCTGGGATTAACATTCTTATTTTACAAATGAGCAAACTAGGACATTCACTTCCTTTTTCAGGGTTACCCAGCTACTCAGCTCTGTAAAATTAAGGGACTGGACTACATACTCTCTAATATCCTTTTTAATTCTTACATTCCATAATTCTAATTCACAGCCATGACTGCTCTTTAAATCAGCAATCAACTCTAGCTGTCTTAGAACTCTATTATTTTTGTTAAGTGGACAGAAAAATGGTATCTACATTTCAGATGACAAATTTACCTCATCTATTTGTAACTGGTCTAGGACCTTTTGCAGGGTGGTATTGTCATTGAGATCTGCCTGGTATTTCCAGGGATCTGAATTGTGATATGCAGTTGACTCTTTCCTCTTTTCTTGCTCACTGAGCCGTTTCATCAAGAGACTTGCTCTTGAAATGAGCTTGGCACAGGTCAGTTGCACCTCAGGCTCTGAGCAATCCTTTTCTAAAGTTCGGACAACATGGGAAACTAGGCTCCTCATTGCACTGTTGGGGATGAGGTGCTCTAACTGCCGGTTCAGTTCAATCTCAAAGGAGTCAGCTGAGGCCGACCAAAAAAAGGAGTTGTCATTGGGCTTGCGTAGAGATTTAGTATTGCCTTGATCTTTCCCGTGTGTTTTGTTGGTTTGTTGAACAGCTGGCAAAGAATTGCCTAAAGGGGAAGTAGCAGTATTTTCCAAAGTGGTGCTTCTTGTAAGGGGTCTTTCAGGAGAAGCCTTTTCTGGGCTGGTCATTTTGGAAGCCTCGGTGGAGATACTTCTTTCTGGAGAAAATGAAATAATCTTTTTAGAAGGATTATTTATAAGGCTTCTCATCTCTGTGAAAACAGGATTTTCAAGTAACCATCTATTTTGTGAAAGTTTATTTTTCATCTTCTGGTTCTCCTTAGCCTCAGGGAATATATTGGCTATGGGGTTTTGCTTTATAGAACAAATGATTTTTATTAGAATCTATGACTGGAATATGATCTTTTTGAAATGTTGTGCCAAATTCCTGTTTTTCTTTTTGTCCCTGATATTTAAGCCTTTTGTTTACATTTTTCGAAGCAGAAAATGGATATTTTAAACCGCCTGGCTTGCTCCTGTCCTCTACTGAGGCTGCCAAAGGACTGGGACTTGAAGAAATGCCCCCATGATGGCAGCTTGGTTTCCTTAGCCTCCTCGTGGCCTGCCCTGAAGCTCTTGTCCTTCCTCTGGCAATGTTTTCCAGAGAAGATTTGACACTTTGTGAATTCCCCTGAATGCTCTCCTGGTCAGTCCCTTCAGAATGCTTTTTTTTCACGCTCTTCCTGTTACTGCTGACCTTCCCCACTTCTCTTAGCTCTGTTTTTTCGCAAAAGCGTCCCTTGCAGGTGTCCATTCCCGGGGCCACTGCCTTCCTGCTGCTGCTGGCTGGGGGCTGGCTGCATTTCCCGGGAACCTCACTACACTTCCTGTTCTTTTCCAGGAGGAAGGTTTTCCATTTCTTTTGAAGTGTTGGATATTTGGCTTTGACAATTTTTTCATGCTTGTTTTTATAATACATTTTTTCTCGAAGATAGGCTTCTAGCAAATTTGTCACAAAGCAAAGTTTCTTCAATTCAATTTCATCGGTAAAATTGATCCGCATTGGGCCAAAAGAAGACCACGATGTTTTAGTCATTGAAGGATCTGAAGTTTTTTCTCTATTTTGCAACTGGGCATTAAGCAGTTCAATAAATGGGAGTAATTTCAATTCTACATTTTTTACTTGCCCCCTTAGGAGTTTTGGCAACAAATACTTTGCCGCATCAAGAAGACCGGTTTCGCCGTAAGAACTTAATTGTTCATTTATCAGATTTAAGGTATCGCTATCTATACATGCTCTCTCAGGGTGTAGGTTTAGTTCAGTACTTGTATTATTTTTTCTGGATTGAAATGTATTCATGAACTCTTCTTGTATATGGTCTATGGATTCCTTTTGATCTGTCAAGAAATAAGAGATTAATTTATGAAATGAAAAGCCAGTGCATGAATTTGGAACTCAAAACTAAAGAAGGAGAAAACAAGGAATGTTAAAAATTGTTTTACATGTAATTGGGGGGAAATGAAATATTAAACAAAACAAAACAAGAAAGGTCAGTGTGTGCATAGTACTGACTGGTGATGGTAGAAAACTCGATTTGCTCTTCCTAGTGGGTTAGAAGACTATAGCAGTAATGCTCCTACTTTGGGACTCCTTTTAGCCTTTGGATCACTCACTGCCTTTTGCAGGGTTTTTAACCCGTCAACATGGGGAGAAGCAGCTCACATTTTAAAAGCTAATTTTAGGGCCAGCTAGGTGGCACGGTGGATAGAGCACCAGCCCTGGAGTCTGGAAGACCGGAATTCAAATCTGGCCTCAGACAATTGACACTTACTAGTTGTGTGACCTTAGGCAAATCACTTAACCCCAATTAAAGAAAAAAGCTAACTTTAAATTGGGTGGAGGTTTTGTCAGCTATTTTTTGTTTTTTAGATATGGTATTCAGAGAAAGGAATATTCCTTCTGAAAGAGATAAAGGAGAATCATATTGTGTTCATTTCTGGGTGTTATACTTTAGGACATTGATCATCCAGAGAAAGGCAACCTGGATGGTTAAAGGTTTCAGTTTGTGACATATGAAGATCATTTGAAGGAAACAGAGATGTTTAGCTTAGAGAAGAAAACACTAGTGAAGCAGGTGACAGCTGTCTTGAAGTATCTGAAAGGCTGTTATATGGAAAAGGGATTATATTTATGTCACTTGACCTCAATGGGCAGAACTATGATCAAGGAGTAAACATACAAAAAGGCAAATTTAAGCTCAATAGCAGGGGTAGTCTGGGTAGAGTTGAGTCTCTTTGTCCAAGAGTGACATAATTAGAGTCTCATACCCAGACTCATTAGAATAGACCTACCTCTTATTATAATATTCATTCTCTCATTAATTGTTAACCAATCAGAACTGATTTCTGCCTTTGGGAACCTCCAATCTTCCAAGGGTATAAAAACATTGGGAATGATGGGGAAAAGGTTTATCTTTAGTTTCAGAGAGTGCCACTGACTTTAATTAATAAACTGATTATTAATTAGCAGAAATTATGTCTTGGACTTATCATTCCTCATATCAAGCACTTTGAACACAGAGATATAAATGACACAGTTCCTCTATAGCAGGAGATATGACACATATAAAATAAGTATAAGGCATGGAGTGATGGGGCAGAAGAAATATCCATTCAAATATCCATTTTGGAATAACTGAGAAGGGCAAGAACACCTTTCACTAAGGAAGGCCACATGGACAAAGCAGAATATTAAGTATTCTCCTCGAGGATAGGGATTGTTTCTTCTTTCTTTTCTTTCTTTTTAAAAATTCACATCACCTAGCACAGTGTTTTGTATATACCAAGTACTTAACAAATATTAGTCAAATTTCAATTTAATTGAGCTAAGCCAAAAACAGAAGGTTTTATCCTGGGCTTCATGAGCTTAAATTTTTTTTTTTGGATAATTGCTTCAGTATAATTAGTTTTCTTTATAATCCTCTGTATTTTGTTTTATGCATTTAAAAATGATATTCCAAGAAGGGTTCCCTAGGCTTCACTAGACTGCCAAAGTGTTCCATGGCACAAAAACAGTTAAGACCTTGTAGAATTTATGAATAGGTGAAGCTTGGTTATGGTATGTCAAATCCAGGAAACAGCTATTTTCTCTGGAATATAAAGTGTATGAAGAGTAGTCATGTGAAATATGACTGAAAAAGTAGGTTGAATCCAGATTGTAAAATGCCTTAAATGGAAAGGTAGGAAGTCTTAAGTTTACCCTAGCAAGGGTTCTTAACCTGGAGTCTATGAACTTATTTTTTAAAAAATATTTTGACAACTATTTCAATGTAATTGTTTTCTTTTGTAAGCCCATGCATTCATGCATTTTAAAACATTGTTTTATATATTGCCAAAGGTGTCTATGATGCAAAAAAAAAAATGTTAAGGCAATTGGGAGCCAAGAAGATTTTTTTTTTTAAAACAAAGGAATATCGTGGTCAGACCTGTGCTTTGGAAGATTATTTTGGCAGCTGTATCATCTCAGAAAATCTGTAATCTGTACTCAAGTATACTGTTTCCCCAAATGCTCAATAAACTCAAGAGGCCATTTTAGAAACATGTTTAGAAAAGGAAACTTTTTATAGGAACATTTAATTGCTCTTAGATTTTCAGGCAAATATGATATGTTACCTGGTTCATTATTAGAACTTAAACTAGCAATAAATAACATCAAACATGAAAGACATTTACATTGCCTAGTTAAAAATTTTGTAATTTAGCATCTCAGACATACCACAAAGCAAGGAGTTAGTGAAGCACTTGCTTCCACAATGTAGCTTTATTGTCTTGAAGGTACTTTCAATATTATTTTCAAACTGACACAGGCAGCAGCCAATATGGCTAGGTAAGATTCTGAAAACAGGAAAAAAAAAGTTAAACTATAGTGGAAATGGAGATTATTAGTCCTGCAAGGCAAGATAGCTGTGTGTAACAGAGTTCTCTGGTTGTCAGAAAAGGACAGTGAAATATGGATCAAATTATTGACCTTGAATCTGTAAGGCCAAGGGGAAAGGGAAGAGAAATAACAGCTAGCAGTAGAACCAGACCAGTATGGTCACACTGTGCAGCATAAAGAGAGATGTGATGGGCATAGAAGTGGGAGTCACAGCTTAGAAATGTCAGACTTGTATGCCTCCCAACCAGTCAATGATAAGCATTTATTAAACATCTGCCATGTGCTAGGCACCATGTAAATATCAATATAAGTATATAGAATATAAAGAGAATAAATACTAATAAATATAAAGTAGTTAAATACAAGGTAGTTCTGGAGGGAGGGAACCAGCAGCTGGAAGAAAAGGATCAGAAAAAGCACATCCCAATATAAATATCTGTTTCTTGAGCTGAAAGTTACAAGTTTAGTTGAAAATTCATTTAGAGGTTGGACTTCTAGGTAAAGAGACATACTTCTAGATTGGAAGAAGCCCACTTTTGGAATCCCATCCACCTATAAGCAATCAGAGCTATTCCTGTTTTGGAGACAGTTCTTGGATTTGCTAAAATTAAGTTAACATTGTTAAGGCCAAAAGCTCAAACTATATCAATAGATAAAGAGTCTAACTCAGAATAGACTTACTACAAATTTTCTTTTTTATTATTCTTTCCTCCCAAACACACACACACTCTCTCTCTCCTATTGTACCAATGAAAAAGAAAGAAAAAACAAAGTCCTCAGCACATAGCTACATAATTTGGCAAAACAAATTCCCACATTGGCCATTTTTGAAAACGTATGTTTCTTTCTGCATTTCAAGTTCATTACCTCTGTTCGGAGGCTGAGTGGTTTGTTTCATCTTCATTCTTTTCAGCTCATGGTTTATCACTGTACTGTTCAGCATTCTGTAGTTTTCAAAGTTATCATTGTATAAATTGTTCTACCTCTGCTCACTTTGCTTGCATCATTTCATAGAGGTCTTCCCCGTATCCATTGAAACTGTCCATTTCATCACTTCTTGCGGCACAAAGAGTTCATTTGTTTAGCCATTCCCTAATGGGAGCCTATGCCCTTAGCTTCTGTGCTTTGACTACTGTGATGAGGTACTATAAATATTATTTTTTTTTGTACATACAAGTCCTTTCCCTCTTTCTTTGATCATTGAGATATAGGCCTAGTGGGAGATAATAGCTGAATCAAAGGGAATGCATATTTTAGTCACTTTTGGGGTATGGTTCCAAATTGCTTTCCAGAAAGGCTAAATCAATTCACAGCTCCACCAACAGTGTACTACTGTAATTGTTGCCAGTCTGATAGATGTGAAGTAGAAGCTCAAAGTTGCTTTAATTTGCATTAATTTCTTAATAATTTGGAACATATTTTCATATAGTTATTGATATCCTGGATTTCCTCCTTTGAAAAATGCCCTTTTATATCCTCTGGCCATTGAATCAGCTCTGCATATATTTTGGATACAAGATCTTTTTGTGGGGGGGTGGGGTGTGGGGGCGGCAATTGGGGTTAAATGACTTGCCCAGGGTCACACAGATAATAAGTGTCAAGTGTCTGAGGCCAGATTTGTCAGGTCCTCCTGACTCCACTGCCCAGTGCTCTATCCACTGTGCCACCTAGCTGCCCCTTGGATATGAGATCTTTATCAGAGATAGTTGCTGCAAAGATTTTTTTCCCCAGTTACCTACCTGTTTTTACTATATTAATTTGCACAGAAAACTTTTACATTTTATACAATTAAATTTGTCCATTTTGTGTTGTGGGAACTTCTTTATAATTTGTTTAATCATGAAGTCTTCCCCTCTCCATAAATCTGAGAAGTAATTTCTTCCTGGCTCCTCTAATTTGTTTATGATGTGATGGCATTTTATACCTAGGTCATGTATCCATTTGGAGTTAATCTTGATATATATAGTGTGAGGTATTGGTCTAAATCTAATTTCTGCCAGAGTAAATGTCTTCAATTATTTAAGTCTGTATTTCTGTAAAGAGTGCTTTATGGTTGGATTCACATATTTCATATATTATCTAGGTGACTCTTGGAAGACGACACTCCCAAACACTTGATAACTTCTGGAGTGTTTTTTTTTTTAACAGAATTTCTCTTTCTGGCTCTTGCTGCTGGATTTTGTTGATGACATATAGATATGTAGATGATTTATGTGGGTTTATTTTTTACCTTCATATCAGAAAGTGATAATTTTGTTTCACCTTTGCCTATGTTTGTTCCCTCAATTTCTTTTTCTTTTCTTATTGCTATAGTTGTACCTCTAGCCCTATATTAAATAAGAGTGGTAGTACTGCACATCCTTGCTCACCTCTTAGTGGAAAAGATTTTAATTTTTCCATTATATATATATATATACATGTATATATATATATATATATAAATATATGTTCTTCTTAGATTTAGAAAGATATTATTTACTATATTAAGAAAGGGTCCATTTATTGCTGTGATTTCTAGAGTTTTTAAAAGAATTGAGGGATCGATTTCATCAAAAGCCTTTTTGACATCTATTGATACAATCACATAGTTTTTATTATTTGTCTTGTTAACATAGTTTATTTTATTTGTGGTATTCTTATATTAAAACAACCCTGCATTTCTGCTATAAACACATCCTGGTCATAATGTATAATTTTTCTAATATGTTATTGTGGTCTATTTGTTATTATTTTATTTAAATTTTGCACCAATATTCATTGGTGATATTCTTCTGTAGTTTCCTTTCTTTGCTTTTTCTCTCTCTAATCACTGACATGATTACTACTTTTATAGAGTTATGTTTATAAAGGATATATTTACTTTTTTTACTTTTTTACACTTGTTTGCAATATTACTGTACCCTAATAAATGGTAAATTTTTGTAAAAGTTCCATTTGGTGCTGAGGAATATGTATATTTTTAGCAGTTCCTTTTAGAAATTACAATAGGTATTTTGGTTTATTTCTGCAGCATTTTGTTTAGTTTTATAGTTTCTCTTTTGTTAATCTTTGTTAGATTCATTCCAGAGAGATATTAAAATCTCCTTTTTTTTTTTTTTTGCTATCTGTCTTCTTGGAGTTGAGTTAATGTTTTGTGAATTTAAATGCTAAGGCATTTGGCAGATGTAAGTTTAATAATGATGTTGATCTATTGTCTATGGTTCTTTTCAGTAAAACATAGGGTTTTTTGGTTTATTCCTTTTTATGTTTTGAAAGTTTGTTTTTGCTTTGTCTGATAGCATGATTACAACTTCTGCTTTTTTGGATTTACTTGGTGCATGGTAAATTTTGTTTCCAGCTACCCATTTTTATTCTGTTTATGTCTTTGTTTTTTTAAGTGTATTTCCTGTAAGCAATAGATTGCAAATAGGGATAGTTTTATCCTCTTTACCTATCTTTTCTCTTTTACTTACCTTCACTTATTTTATTTCAGTTGCTAGGATTTTCAGAACTATACAAAATAATAGTGGGGAGAGTGGACATCTTTACTTTATTCTTGTATTTACTGTAAAAGGTTCCAGTGTATCTCCATTGCATAAAATGCTTGCTTTTGGATATATATATATCCAAAGAGAGAGAGAGAGAGATACACACCTTTTTAAAAAGTTCTTCTATGCCTATATTTTGTAGGGTTTTTAGTATAAAAGAGTGTCGTACTTTGTTAAAGGCCTTTTCTATATCTATTGAGATGATGATGTGGTTTAGGATGTTTTGGTTCTTAATATGACTAATTATGTAGTCCTAATGTTTTCCTAAAATTGAACCATCCTTTCTTGGTCAAAATGAATGCCTTCTTGGATAAATCACTGTAGTCTGTTTGACAGGATTTTGTTTAAATTTAAATTCTTGAGTCAATATTTATTAAAGATACTGGTCTATGGTTTTTCTTCTGTGATTTAGGTATTAAAACTATATTTGTCTCATAAAAGGATTTTGGTAAGGTGCTTTCTTTCTCAATTTTTGAGAATTATTTGTGAAATACTGGTATTAATTTTTCTTTAAAAATTTGACAGAATTCTCCTGAGAATCTATTAGGACCTGGAATTTTTTTCCTTTGGTAGTTCCTTTACAGCTAGATTTCCTTTTCTGAGATTGGCTTACTTAATATCTGTATCTGTTTTCTGGTAGTTTAGCCATTTGATATTTTTAAAGGTATTCCTCTATTTCCTCTGTGTTCTCAGTTTTTTGTTAGCAAATAATTACACAATGTTCTGATTGTTCTTCTTCATTTACTATTTTATTGGTTTGATTTTCTGCTCTCTTCTTTTTAATCAGATTAAAGGTTTGTCAATTTTATTAGTCTTTTCAAAGAATCAGATTTTACTTTTATTTATTCTTTCTGCTTCCCCCCCCCCAATTTATCCATTTCTCCTCTAATTTTTAACATCTTGTTTGTGCTTATTTTAGGTTTGCTTTGCTTTTTGGCATTCTAATTTTTTAAAATGCATATTCAGTTCACTAATCCTCTCTTCTACTTATTAATGTATGTTTGTAGGGATAGGATTTCTCCCAAGGTTTGCTTTAGCTACATCCTCAAAATTTTATGTTGTTTTATCATTATCATTTTCTTTCACATAATTATGATTTCTATGATTTATTCTTTGATGCATTCTTTATATTTTGTTGTTAAATCTTCATTTAGGTTTATGGTTTGTGATCCCTGAACCAATGATTATTTTTGTTTCATTATGATCTGTAAAGGCTGTGTTAACTGTTTCTGCCTTTTAAAATTTATTTGCAACATCTCCATGTTCTAATACATGGTCAATTTTTGTAAAAGCTCTAACTGGTGCTGAGAAATATGTATATTCTTTTGTAGTCTCAATTAGAAGATACCATGTCTTTTAACTCTAGTCAGTTACATATTTTCCCTTTTGTTTATCTTTCTGTTAGAGGTATCCAGAACTGAGAAGGATAT